ATACTAATCCTAATTTAGGATATATTAATAAATATTTCTATATTTTATTAAAAGCTATAGAATACTCTTTACTAAGATTATTTATATATCTAGTATAGTATATAGTAGTAAAGATTATATTAGGCCTAGTTTTTAAAGCTAAATAGAGTAAAGACCCTATTTATTTCTAATAGCTATTAATATTATTAAAGTTTATACTAGTATTATTTTTCTTTAATTTTAGCCCTAGCTCTTTTAGTATTTTAATAGGCTTATAACTAAGATTATTTATTATAGAAAATTTATTTAATAGTTTCTCTATATAACCCTTTTAGTCTATATATAGTATTTTTATCTAATAATTAATTTTAATATTATTATCTAAGAATATTAATACTATACTAATTTCTCCTATCTTTATATAGTAGCTAATTTTAGCTACTATATTTCTTATATAGTCTAAATTTTTATATATAACTAATATATTATTAATATAATATATAAGTATATATTAATCTTTATAGTTTATATAAATACCTTTATTATAGAGGAATACTCTAAAGTTAAATTTAGCTAATAGTTTAGATAGATATTTATATTAGAGTCTAAGGCTCTATTATAGATTATATAGTATTTTCTTTAAATAGTAGTAATTTTTAGGATTATCTTTATATACTCCTATAGATAGGATAGTATATATATTAGTATCTATATTAGTATATATAAAGATATTTTTAATATTATATTATAATATATACTAGCCTTTATTAATAGCTATTATTAGTAATAGATATTAAGACTTAGTTCTATATATAGTAAAAAAGGTCTCTAAGAAATTAACCCCTAGTTTTTAGTAAAATCTTTAAATTACCTATCTAGCTTTATATCTAATAATTTTATTACTATTAATAATATAATCCTTATCTAGATTAGGATTATTTATAGGTTTTTTTTTTAAAAACCTATTTATTTTTAATAAAGTTTATATTAGATAGTATATTTATTATTTTATACGTTCTTCATTTTTCTAATTCTTCTATTTTAATATAGTAAGCCTTTAACTATTCGTCCTTTTCTAGACTATTAATAGCTTTTTAATAGCTATTAGATTCTAATAGTATTAAAGTAGTTAATAAAAACCTATTATCTATATTAGTTTTAATCGAGCTAATATAGTTAATTAATATAGTATCTTTTATAGAATATAATTTAGATATTTATATTTCTATCTTATAATAAAGATTAGTAGTAATTCTTCTAAAGTTCTCTCTTCTAGTTAATACTTTATTCTTATCTTTATTAAGAAATATAGGATCTATATTAACCTTTTTTAAGCTTATAAACTTAGTTTTTTTTATAAAGACTATTTTTATAATAGAGATTTATATTTCTAGATAGTCTCTTTAGAAATTTATTTTTATATATTATAATATCTCTAGACTATAGGCTTTTTTACCTTTTATAATCCTATAGCTTATAATATTTATAATTACTATAGCCTATAACTATAGCTTCTTCCTTTCTAAAAGATAGCTTAGTTTTATATTTATTTATATAATAATAGGCTAAAAAGCCTTAGATCTTAATATTTTATATATTAGACTTTTTATTATAAAATACTTTAAAAGGTATTTTATACCCTAATACTTTATATAAAGACCTATTATAAATATAGATAGTAGCCTATATTATTTCTTTTTATAAATATCTAAGGCTTTTTAATTATATTAATAATACTTTTATTTTATTAAATAGAGTAAGATTTATTCTTTCTATTAGTCTATTAGACTCTTTAATATAACTAGAAATAATTATATAGTTAATATTATATTTAGTTAGAGCTAATTTAAATTATTTATTTATATACTCTCTACTATTATTAGTAAAGAGTTCTTTAATCTTTCTATTAGTAATATTTTCTATTAAAGCTTTATAATTTTTAAATACTTTATAAATATTATCTTTATTATATAATAAGATTATCTATAAATATCTAGATTTTTTATCTAGAAAAGTAATATAATACCTATATTTATTATAGATAGATAGTAAAGGTCTATTTAAATTACTATATATCCTATCTAAGATTTTATATTTAGTAGGATTAACTAACTTCTTATAGATATTCCTATTATCTTTAGATAATAGGTATACTTTATATTTTTTCTTTAAAAAAAGCCTTAATTACTTCTAAAGATATTTTTATCCCTAAAAGTCTTAATAGAAGTATTCTTAGAGTCTATATATTAATATACCCTAGTCTTATATACTATAATTTAATAGTATTAATAATACTATTTTTAATAGCTTTATCTAGAATATAACTATTATTACTTTTAGTAGTTATACTAAAATAATTAGTTTTAATATCTATTTTAGTATTAATAGATTTCTTTAATATAGTAGTATTTATATAATAAAGATTATTCTTTTTATTACTAATAGTAACTATTTTCTTTAATAGTATATATAAATAGGCCTTATTTTTTATAAATAAAGCTATTAAATTATATAACTAATAAATACTTATTAAATTTATATCTAAATTAGATATATAATATATATCTTTTAATAAATATATATAGCTAGTATTTAATTTTATATATATATTACTTTTATAAATTATTTTAGTTATATTAGCCTTACCCTATTTTATTAAAGTAGTAGTAGGTTTATAATAAGAATAGTATTCTAATTTATATATAATATTAATAGTAATAGTACTATTAAAAATAAAGTCTACTTTTCTATTTATAGGTTTTAATCCTATTATTATCTAATTTTTTTAGTATTTAATATAGTACTATATATTAAAAAAGGATATATCTCTTTATATTTATAGATATTATCTATATTTAGTAGTTAATTACTAGCTTCTTTTAAAAGCTATTTTTTAATACTAGTATATAGATTTTTATCTAGTTTATTAACTAGATTAAATATATCTATATCTTTAATAGTAGATTTAAATATATTTACTATATTAGATATAATATAATTATTTATTTTAGTTTAATTAGTATTATTAGAGCTATTAGCTTTATTAGCTAATTTAACTCTATATAACTTTCTAATAGCTAAAATAGATAGTTTAATAGCTTTTTTAACCCTTTTATCTCTAGGTTTCTAGCTTTTAAATATTAAATTAGGAAATAATAGCTAGTAGTTATTAATATTATAACTAATAACTTTATAATATTAATAATATTTTCCTTTAAAAAGCTTATTTTTATATAACTTTTAATATTTATATTTAAATATTATAACCTTTATATAATAACTTCTTTTATAAATATAGGATTCTCTATCTCTAATATTATTAATTAAACTAGAAAATAGAGATTTAATAGTATATATATTAGGGTTATTTCTTAATAATTAGATTATATTTCAAATAAATCTATTATAGTCTTTATTAAAACTATTTAAGATTTAGGCTATAACTATCTAATTAGATAGGTTTATACCCTTTCTTTTAAGATTATCTACTAGTATTTTAACCCTATTAAAATACTTTTCTATTAAATTAAAATTACTTAATATAGTATTAAAAAAATCTTTTAAGATTAAATATTTAGTAATAAAACCTTTAGAATTATATAAGGCTTTAAAATATAGCTACGTTTTATAAGTACTTTCTATATCTTTAAGATATAATAATAGTCTATTATTATAATAAAGCTTTAAAATAGATATAGCTTTATTATTCTTTACTCCTATAGAAGGGCTATCTATAGAGATATATAAATTATCTTTTATTAGAGTAGCTTTTACTCTAATAGACTAGATAATATAATTCTCCGATCCCTTTAATTTAAAGAGATATATCTTCTCTAAAGAAGCTATAGAGAGATATAATATTAGAGTAGTACTATATACTATTAATAGTATATAATATTTATATACTATCTATAGTAATATACTATAATAGTATATAAGCTTTAGAGATAATTCGGAAATAAATCGGTAAAGTCTCGGCCTTTCTTTAATAGGAAATATATACCTATATTTCCTAAATAAGAAATAGGTTACTAGCTAGGCTTATAACCTATAAATAATTTAGTAGATAATATATTATAGTCTAATATAGACTATAACTTAATAGGGGAATCCTATCTTATATAATCTTATATAATAGGATTATTTAAGATAATATATTAGTAGGGTTATACTTATCCTAAATAGGAAGTAGGGTAGCCTTAGATAGTACCGGTAAGATAAATATAGTTTTTCTTCCCTCCATAGTATGCCTTACTAATATAGTATATATACACTATTATACTAATAGTTGTGATTATACGTATTCCAAAATCAATGCTATAGGGTAATAACTATACTAGAGGCTAGAAAGTATGCTATAGGCCAGAAAGTATGCTATAGGCCAGAAAGTATACTACGAAAGACGATGGTACATGCACAAATTGTTTCGTGAGAGACTTCATCCCCAAATTTCTATAGTAATTGGGCTACTAGTTTAAAAAACAATTTTGTTATAGCATATAGTAATATTCGAAATCAGCTTTACCTTTAACCTCTCTTTATCTCCTAGGGCCCCACCTATAGCACACTAGGCCATATTAGGATATAGTTCCGCTAGCTTTATATTGTCTAGGTACCTACGGTCAATCATCGTAAAATATAGTCTTCTCACGACCTTATAAGTACGCTCTACTATACTTCCGGAAATCGGTATTACTACTTATAATCTTTTATTACTTATCGAGCTATAGTCGAACTATATACTAAGGAACGCTAAACTACCCTTAGTATAGTAAATAGTACCCCTTAGTGCCCTAATTTTACCGAATATATTATGTTTCCTTAATATATATTTATTATCTATAATGGCTAGATACCTGCTACCTTAGTGCCCCACCATCCTACCTCAAACTCATCTAGGAGCCTTGATCGATCAACCTAGAGATGACCCCGAAGGGGTTTCATTCTATCCATCTTTGACTAGTCCTCAAGCATGCCACCGTCGTTTTCCCGTCATTTCAATTCTCGCGAAGAGCTCTCCTATGTATCAACTCACGAATCCCAGCGACATCTTCTCAGTTCTCCTGATCCTTGGCGGCGACGTCGTTTGGCGGGCGATCGCGCAGCTGGCGGGACCGCCAGTCACTCCGATCGCTTTTCCTTTCGGTGTGTATATTCTGTTCCTGTTCATCTATGTCTGACATTTACAGGGTGGGTTGCCTACGTCGTATCGGCCCTTCTGACCGCCATTGGCGAAAATAACTTCATGCCAGCACTGGAAAATCCATGTAAGGTGATCAATAGGCGCACAGGCTACGTCCGCGAAAACAACAGTTTCATCCTTGGTCGTATCATGCGAGATCTCGAGGTCTGGATGGACAACCGAATCAAAGAGCATATGCGACGTATGCTCGAGCAGCGATGGGAGATATCCAGACATGACAGGGAGAGGCCTGCCCAGCGTGGATCCGGCGAAGCTGTGCGAAAGCCTGTCCGTGGCGGTCTCTGTGTTTCGATCTACCACGCTGGTCAAGCGCAATCCGGCCACCCAGGGCATGACTGGCTTTATTTCCTTGGGTTTGCTACTGCGTTACTGCAACTAGGCATCGCGGCGATTCCCTGTGGGCTAGATGGCGATTGGAGCATTCTTGTGGTCACAGCAGCTGGAATTATTCTTTCATTTACTGCAGCAAGTCTCCGACAGTGGCCGAAAGAGAAATGGGCGTGTCGCCACAATTCCACAAAGACGGTGATCCTTACCAAAGGAAACGGCAGTCAACATGCGATTGTCATAATTGGGGATAACAAAGGCTTGGATATCGAACACCTGGCAACCGGACCTAGTGCGACGGATGTTTCGATCCCCTTCAGTGTCACCAAGATTGCTCTTTTGATTATAGCTTTTCTTTGGGTAGCTCTGCTGGTTGTTGCTGCCGGTGTCAAGCAGCATTCCTGGTTTCTACTTGCTATTGGAGCGATTGGAATCCTAGAGGATATTTTCGTTGCAGGATCACCCCGACACCCCGCCGCGTTTGGGATGCCCCTTAACTTTGAGAATGTGATTGGTGAGGCGAAAGTCATGAACACTCTATTCGCGGTGGAGCAGGCATATTCGCGAGTAGGCAGGAGCATGTTAGATACCTTCTTTCCGGGGAAGCTACGGCCGAAAGAGCGGGAGAGATGTGATGAGTCTGAAAGGCTAGCGGACGCCATGGATCAGTCTCTGGCAGACCAAAATGATTCTCGGCCCATGCATGCATAGGTTACCTAGATCTTTACCAGCACTTAGTTAAAGCGACATGAGGCAAGTTTGTCTCCCTCGGGATATTATGGGGTGTGATGATGGTCTACGATCTTACGCTCTCGGTGGTTGCGTCGTTTCATGGTACAGTACATATTTACAAAGCAACGTATAATGTCCAATGGAGGCAAGTTGAAGTTGCGTCATTGTAAAATGTGGCATGTTGGCAAACCGTCGGACCGATAGTCTATTCTGAGGAATGAAAAAATATCTACCAATGTCTTAGCTGATACGTTTGAGGTTGTCACCCGCAGATTATATCCCAATGAGTAATAACGTTGGAGTATAAGATATCAGAGCAGACGATCAGTTGGCGGGTCCATACTGATTCGACCTGGGGTGTCGAGGATAGGAAATTGCCGTCCGAAGGTCGCTGCCAAGCTCATCTGAAGGCTGCCAGCGTGTGGCTCATTTGCGGCCAGTGGTCGGGCGTGGCCGCTTTGGCGTCGCGCGACCGGGAGGGCAGAGGTGAGGAGGATGGGCAAGAATCATCCCAAGTCGCGCGATCGTCACTTTCCCCCAGCTGATCTACAGTTTAATATCATTGGACTGTCGTTCACCTCGAAGGACTCGAAAGTCTTGGCATTTCGCACACTCCCACAATCAAGGGGTTCAGCTTGGTAGTCACGTGCTTAACCCTGCTCGTATCTCAAGACTCGGCCTCGCTCGTGGTCCTTCGAAATTACGGTCCGCTTCAAGGGTCTCCCTTCAAGAACTCCTATGTGGCCAGAGGGGTTTCCTGCGTTCGAGAAACATAGAGCCAAGAAGTCCTTGAAGTGGGGCAAACTTGGTATCCCGTCAGTCGGGAAGGACTTGCTGGCTCCAAGAGCCTTTTGTGAACATCGTGAAGTCTGCTTTAACAGCGGCTGGTACGGACTATGGGTTCGGATTGCGATATGCTCCTGGAAACATTGCAGAGGGTGAAACAACTCAACTTTTGCCCGAATCGCATATGGGCTGTTGCAGGGGAGAAATTACCGGAGCTTGTGCCAGATTTCGACATAATCCCAGGAACCGGAGACAATCTTGACGAGCATGAGAACTACAATGAGCATAACGAGTGCACACCCAATTTTTGCGAATATTCTCAGCGTGATTTTACAGCTGTTCAGCAGCGTCATGAGTGCAAGGAGGCTAACTGTCGACAACTGCGTGACCGTTTTTCGAGGGTTATGCTAGAGAGAGCTGTACGCAATGGAAAGCCAACGGTGTGGAATTTGGCTGGAGACTGTTTGCTCGAACCTCCTCAGCCATATATGGCTATTTCTCACGTTTGGTCGGATGGAACCGGAACCGGAGCCTGGAAAGACGGCGATGTCAACGAGTGCCTGTATACATTTTTCCAAGATATTGCAAAACAATTCCAATGCGACGGAATATGGTGGGACACACTGTGCATTCCCCGTGAAAAGGCAGCCCGTATCAAAGCTCTCCAACAGATGCAGACCAGTTACGAGGACGCCCGAATCACCTTAGTGCACGATAGTTTCCTCCGAAACTGGGAATGGGATCCTAAAACCGCATGTTTTGCCATACTGATGTCGCCTTGGTTCAGCCGAGGCTGGACCGCTTTGGAATTGACCAAGTCGCGCAAAGTAAAGGTGATCTTCAGAGGATATCGTGGCCCTATAATCAAGGATCTTGACGAAGAGATTCTCGGAAAGGATGACGACCCTAATGGCCCCCGTAAGGAAGCATCTTGGATTATTAGGAATCTCCGGAAGAAATTCACGACACTAAATGACCTCTTGACTGTGTTGAGCTCGCGGTATACGTCTTGGCCTAAGGACATAGCCATCATCTCTGCACTCTTAGTGGGCATTGTACCAAATGAGCGACAGCAGGACACTTATAAGAGTATTTTGACAAAATTCGGCCGGCTTTCGCCAGGACACCTCTTTCATAACTCCATAACGATGTCCAAAGGATTCAGCTGGTGTCCGGCCAAACTATTTGACATGCCTTTAGACTCCTCTGACCCCAGTTTAACTATTTCTGAAGGCGGCGACGTCCAAGGGAAGTGGCGTATTATTCCTGTTGGGGCCGAACTCGAAATGAACTGCTGGTGGGGTAGCACGCATTCTCTGATAAGACGGCAGCTCAAATATGCCCTTACCAGAAACCGTCAAGACTGCCACCTCTTAGCCGAATGCGGTACTGTGCCGATAGGAAGGGCTTTGCTTGTGAGAAAAATGCAAGGGACCTCCCGCTACCAATATATTGGTGCGGTGTACCTCCGTCAGGAGCTAAGGGAGAAGAATGATCAATGGATCGAAACGACAGTGACAATATCAGGTTATCGTGATGACATGGAAATGAGTTCTGTTCATCCAGGTAATAATCAACCAGGAGACAAGGAAGACGCATCCCATTTGAATCTGGAGAAAGAGAATCCGTCAAACGTTACTTCTAAAACCGAGAGACTTCACTGTGCCATATGGAGAGGGGATTACCACACATTCCACAAGCTAATCGAAGAGTCCAGCCTGGATGTCCCGGATCAACTTGGCCGGCGCCCTCTACATCTTGCATCGGAACGTGGACACAAGCAGATGGTCGAAGATTTAGTACGTTATAAAGTTGATTTGGACGTACGGTGCGATAATGGTCAGACTGCGTTGCATCGCGCTGCTTGGGCTGGCTCCACTGCCGTCGTGAGAGTCCTGCAAGATAGAGTCGATGAAATGGCAAAGGACAAGGCTGGTAATACTGCATTGCATATAGCAGCGCAGATGGGATTTGCGTCCGTTGTGAAATTGCTTATTAAGAAAAGCCCTGTTAATATGGAGGGCTATAACAATTTGACGCCCATTCACTTCGCGGTGATGAACGAGCATAGGACAGTGGTGGAGTTGCTCAAAGATGCCGACGTTGAAGCTAAAGATTATATGATTGGTTGGACATCGCTACATTGCGCAGCCGATAACGGGGACCAAGATATAGTCAAACTACTGATTCACCGCGGCGCGGAAGTCAACGTGCAAGACGATCGAGTAGGTTGGACACCTCTACATCTGGCGGCAATGAATGGGCACAGGCTGGTCGTTGGTCTTCTGCTCAGGAACGGCGCCAAAATTACGATTAAAGACAAATACGACTGGACACCTCAACGATTCGCTGAAATAAATGGACACACAGAGGTATTTAAGCTACTGCACGATAAGAGCGCCGATGCTATCTTCGCAAATGAAGTACGTTGGACACCTCTGCACTGCAAGGCGATAAACAACGAGCGGGGGTTCGTCAAAACACTGGCATACAGCGGTTCTGAGGTCTTTTTCAGTGAGAAGGATAAAAGCTGGACGCCACTGCAATTCGCGATAGAGAACGGACTCGAAACCGCGATCCGACGGCTGCTTGAGGTGGGCTTCAATATCAAGACAAAGTATGGCCAGACGTCGCTACACTGGGCTGCCGAGCACGGGCACAAGGCGTTCGTGCGGCTGATGCTCGAGAAGGGTGTTGATAAAGAGGCCGAATCCCTGTTTGGCGGAGCGCCGCTGCACTGTGCCGCCGAGCGCGGCTATGGTGAAGTTGCGCAGCTCCTCCTTGAGGCAGGCGCCGATAAGGACTCTAAAGCTCGGGATGGGTGCACACCGCTGCATAGGGCCGCGTCAAACGGGCACGAAGTGGTAGTGCGGCTCCTCCTTGAGGTTGGCGCTCACAGAGAGGCTAAAACCCGAGATGACCGCACACCTCTACATAAGGCCGCCGAGAGCGGGCACGAGGCAATCACGCAGCTGCTGCTTGAGAACGGCGCGGATAAGGAAGCTAAAGACGCAGATAACCAAACGCCGCTGCATGACGCCGCTAAGAGCGGACACGAGGCGGTCGCGCGGCTGCTAGTCAAGGCGGGTGCCGACAAGGACTCCAAAGCTCGAAATGGCAACACGCCGCTGCATAGGGCCGCGTCTGGCGGGTATGAAGTGGCAGTGCGACTCCTTCTTAAGGCAGGCGCTTTCAGAGAGCCAAAAACTCTAGATGGCTCCACGCCACTGCATAACGCCGCCCAGGCCGGGCATGAAGTAGTCGCGCGGCTGCTACTCGAGGCAGGCGTCGACAAGGAAGCAATACGCTGGGATGGTTGTACGCCGCTGCATAGGGCCGCCATAGGCGGGCATGAGGCAGTAGTGTGGCTGCTACTCGAGAATGGCGCTGATAAAGAAGCTATAGCTTGGAATCGCCACGGCGTTTTGCATTGCTGCACTCCGTTACATGGAGCCGCCATAGGCGGTCACGAGGCAGTCACGCAGCTGCTACTAGAGAAGGGCGCCGACATGGAGGCTAAAGACTCGGACGGCTACACGCCGCTGCATAGAGCTGCTATAGGCGGGCACGAGGCAGTCGCGCAGCTGCTACTCGAGAAGGGCGCCGACAGGAAGGCTAAAGACTCGAACGGCTGCACGCCACTGCATAGGGCCGCGTCTCGCGGGCATGAAGTGGTAGTGCGGCTCCTTGAGGCCGGCGCTCACAGAGAGGCTAAAGCCCGAGATGATCGCACACCTCTACAGTCATATTCGAAATCAGTTTTAACTCCACACTCTTGCGTCTTGATTCACGAACCCTAACTCGAAACACGCTAGTCTAATTTTAGCTTTTCCCCTCGCAATCCCTGTAGGGCTGTATCGTATCCACTGGTAACTACAAATGAGTCATTGCTATAGTACCGTAATCTCCCGTAGAAACCGATGGAATTCTTCGTGTCAACAGACCAAAGAAAGGGAGAATTCTAACAATCTGGCAAGATCCTTCTTTTATTCTCTCCACTTGTTTGTTTTCTTGTCACGCGCAGCTTTCACGTACACTCATTTGACACCCAAAAGAAGGCTGCGATGACGCATGCCACAGATAATTAATTCTGGTACTAGATAGAGTAGCCTCTTAACAATCGAAAAACCTGGTGAAAGCGCTCTGACAAAAGGTTGTCCCTAACCGTCAGGTGACAGCTGAGGGCACTACTACTGTCGCTTCAGTAAATGGTCGTACATATAGCAATCTGACGAAACAATTTGACTATAGAGATATTGTTTTGACAGTCATCGAGAAGCAGCTTCTGATGTGGTCAAGTGTGTTCTCCAAGCACTTGAGGGTAAGGAGCGCATGTTTTAATATGAACGACTAAATAAAGTACATAGTCAATCATGGTCCAGATGAAAACTTATGTGAGATGCCGTGAGACCACAATAACAACAAGATTATTTAAAAAATCCCGGTTCGTTTTGACGTTAGAAGCCACTTTGCTATTCAGGCAGTCCATGTTTGACATGGAAAAACTCCCTGACACTGTAATGGGCAAGTTGTAATCGTAGTCCGGCGGAGCTGGGGTAAACAGGGGTCACAAAGCCTTTGCAAATTGAGATGCACAATTCCAATACCTCTTCTTCTGTGGGCTCTTTTCTAAGATGATCTCTGCATAAGACGCCTCTTAACTCTGGTCCTGAAGCCCTTATCAACTGGCTTACGCTCATTGGTCCATCCGTTTGAAGTATTATTCTTAGAGTCTTCCTGGCCAAAGCTGCAATCTCCACAGGCTGGTGAAACACATTGTCCAGCATTAACGTGTAAATGCCGACGATGGATGAAGGTGGATCGTACATTAACTGTTTGAACGCGGCTTGAGTTTCTGCCTGTACCAGAGACTTCACCATAGCATTCGTGTATATGAAACTGTAGAAAGTCAGTCATTATGAATCTTGGAAGGTTGTATGTATCATATTTGCCATGGGATGTCGGGTGAAACTACCAGCGAACGACTTATGGGTAACATACCTTCCCTGACTTTGATAAGTAATCATTTTGGCCGCCTTGGCAATGTTGTCATGGTCATGATTAAAATATCCTGATATGCGAGAGTCCTCCTTAAGCAATTTGCTCGTATATTCGAGATGACCAGAAAGTGTCACAGATGGGTGACTATCGAGGAAAACACAGTTTTGAAGAGCCTCTAGAATATCCGGCCTTGGTCGTGTGCTGACTAAAATTCTTAGGGGTGGCTTAATGGTAAAGAGACTCTCGACAAGCTCTCTGCCCACCTGTCCAGCCTCATCTAGTCCATCCAGAATAAGATAAAACTGCTCGAGGTCGCGGCGTGCTCGAGATATCAGATCAATGCTCTCTACTATTGATAGTGGACCACCTGTGACTTTCAAAGCGGTGACGTGGTCCATGAGATATGGACGATCCAGTAAAATTTGCTGTACGATGTTGGATAAAGCCATAGACTTTGTCAAGTCCTCTCCCTGTAGGGAATTGAAGGCCAAATACGCGATGCAGATGTCAATCTCGGACTGATGCCAAGCCTTCAGGAAAAATCGAGTTACCTGGCACGCCGATGATTTTCCCGAACCCGGGTTTCCGGTGAGTACGAGAGTGCTTGGCGTAGTGCTCGAGTCGTGCCATCGCTTGAAATTTTCGTGCAGTAAAAGCCACTCTGTACTTGCTCTCATTTCTATGACTCTCTCTCCATCTAGCTCTCCTGATAAGTTAACTAGAGACAGAGAGTCCACAATGAGCTTTTGCTCCTTAGATAGAGAGATTGTGGTTTGTCTTCGGGTATCAATAAACATCGTAGTCAACTGGCTACGAACCTCTTGAAGTTCATCTCGGATGATCATAGAAATGCGTATATGATCATTTGCAATGGCAAGGAGAAAACAAGACTTGAGCTTTTCAAGAGAGGCAAGCATTTCTTGAACTTGGGATTGATCAAATGGCCACCGAAGCCGACCAATAGCGCTTGAAATGTTGGAGTCCGATGTTGTCACGCCTATCTTCCGGGCTATTTGCTCAAGAATGTCCTGAAACGCAGAAAGCGGGCCGTTGGGTGTGGATAAGCTCTGAATGGTGTGTGACCAGTCTTCGTCGTCGACATCATTTGTGAGATCGATCAAAGTTGAAAGTAAACCACGTGCTTGTACCAGCGCACTTAGTAGTTTTCTTTTCTGAATCGGTGCGTTGCTGACATTTTTGAAGTATTTGATAACGCTAGACGCCAGCTGAAGCAAAGTAATAAGAGAGGCGGCATCACTGAGGCCGTCCATATTGTATGAATTTCGTATATAGTTCGTATATAGCACTTCGAGCTTCGGGTGTGCTTTTTGTCAACTTGGCAACTCTCGACCCGGCAGACGGTAGAAGGCGGGGCACAGAACTACACTATGTATGGCATTTTCCTGTAAAGTACCTAGGACGAGGTCAGACCGTCGTCATGTAAAATACACTATCTATTCTTAGTAACTGAAGATCGAGGGCTATACCAGATTTAGATTAGTGTGTTTCAAACGAGGGTTCGGGAATTAACTCCCAAGAGTGTGGAGTTAAAACTGATTTTGAATACTACTGTACACAAAGCCGCCGTGGGCGGGCAGAGGCAGTCAAGCGGCTGCTACTCGAAAGGATGCCGATGAAAAGGCTAACGAATAGGATGAATGGCACCCAAGGCGATATCTAGCTCGCTGCTTTGGTTTTTCTAGGACCTCGCAACTGGTTCTGGTACAGTCGATCGCCCTTTTCCCCCTGCAGAAGGAGGCTATGGACTGACACGAAGAGTCCGCTGCAGTAAGCCGCTGGCGGGCCCAACTTGCCTACGCTCTTCCTTTTAACCCAATGGCTTTTGGTTGAACCCGTCGTGGGGCTATTTGGCCAGCATCCGAGCTCGGGAAGATGCGTCATGTTATAGGTTTGCAGAATCAAACGAAGCCATATACTATATTCTATTTGAACCTTCCCCGTGGCAGCAATAGCGGGAAAGTTTCGTAACCATCTGAAGGATATACATGCTTGATCTTTTCCCACCGGCGTCGGCGATTTTGTCGATCTGCTCCCCATATTTCTCATTTTACTATGCGCCTATATTATATATGATCGACTCTGTTTTGGTAGTTCTGAGCGGCTTGCAGGTAGATGTCTCCGTGCCAGTAAATGCTTAAAAAATTGGCCGACAGGCAAAGAGCGCGCAGCCGATTTGCCTAATTTTAGAGCCATGGTTCGTCGGACCTCTCGGTTGATTGATCAAGGCTCCTAGGTGAGTTTGAGATAGGGTGGTAGGGCACTAAGGTAGCAGGTGTCTAGCCATTATAGATAATAAACTTATATTAAGGAAACATAATATATTCGGTAAAATTAGGGCACTAACGGGTACTATTTACTATACTAAGGGTAGTTTAGCGTTCCTTAGTATTATAGTTCGACTATAGCTCGATAAGTAATAAAAGATTATAAATAGTAATACCGATTTCCGGAAGTATAGTAGAGCGTACTTATAAGATCGTAAAAAGACTATATTTTACGATAATTAACCGTAGGTACCTAGATAATATAAAGCTAGCGGAACTATATCCTAATATAGCCTAGTGTGCTATAGGTAGGGCCCTGGGAGATAAAGAGAGGTTAAAGGTAAAGCTGATTTCGAACATTACTGTATTTTTGTCCATTCTGGCCTAGTTTGGCACACGGCCTGGGGCTATCTTAAGACTATAGAAAAGTACCTTAACGAAAGGTGAAGCTCCAACAGCGATTCTCACTTGGTCTCAGATATAGTGTCTTATAAGAAATCTATCATTTGCCCTAATACACTCGAGCACTATAAACATTTGGTCTGATACCGCTCTATAACGGCTATCTAGTTTAAAATATCCTACTAGTGAAGATAAATAGTTATTTACGCTTCCTAAATAATTAAATTCTGATCTTTTATCTCGGCTTCTATTTATATTACCGCCTCCTCGAAGCGAGACGCTTTATCTTTAGCCGCCCTAAGTTTCTCTATATAACTAAGGTTTTTAAATTATATACGAGTAATATTTTTAAGATCCGTTTACTTTTCGCGCTATAAGAACCCTTATAAGTTTAATAAATTATTCTAATAGGTTATTAGGTTTACTTTTATAGGAACTATATAAAACGTTTAACCTACCTCGCGGTAAAACTATATATAGGCCCCTACCGAGTATTTATTTATATACTTCTAAAAAAGAAGCTTAAGTGATAGATTATCTATCTACTATATATAGAGACATTCGTCCTCTATCTTTAATCGGACCTTAGAAGGGTCTACTTTAAGTTCGAGCCTCTTAACTAGTTAGAGATATTAGTATATTTTATTTTAAAAAAATCTATAAAGCTTATATATATACTAAGCGAGTCGCGTCCTATAAGTTAATCGCTAAATAGCCCACTTTTTATTACCTAGAAGTTAAATTTGTTTATCTATCATAGTCGAAATTAGGTATTAATAATAGTACGGCTTAGCTACTTTATATATTACTACTTCCTCTATAACCAGTTTTAGGTACTATAGTTATAGGAGGTATATATTTAGTTTTAACCTAAATATATAGATAAAGTTATTACAGAACTACCCGTCACCAATCGATAGTGCCCCACCGGGTGCACAGATAGGCCATCAAGAGCTAACCAATCCATCTATTAGCCCATTATATATAGTATCTAGTACTCTAGTATCCCTAGGTACTTAGGAAGAAGAATCTATTTACGCTTAGTAAGCGGAAGTATGATTAAGCCTAATTAAGCTTACTACTAGAAGGATTCTAGTACGTATATACTTTAGGGTATTAGATATCGCCTATACTAGGAATCACTATATATAGAACTAGAGATATATAACTATAACTCCTATATCAACTTTAAGAAATATATATAGGAGTATATAGCGACTCTAGCAGTAACTCTAGGGAGTTATACTAGGAGTAGGAAGCGAAGGATATATAAAGACACTTATTTATATATCTAGTTTAGTTCTTTATTTTTAATTATATATTATTACTTATATTTACCTTTTAGATTACTAGTAACTCTCTTACTTAATTATAATTTAATAACACTTATAAATAGACTAATACTCCGGTATAGATCTATTTGGCGCTCTACCTAGCACCGTTCCTCGATACCTTAAAAGGACCTAGTCTATAGTAAGGCTTATTAAGCAATAGTACGGTTAAGAGTATAGATCCTTAATATTAGAAACCTAAGTAGTATAAAGTAAATATACCTAAAACTCTTCTAATCTAGCTATAACTAGTTAGTAGTATATAATATATTAAAGACTATCTTAAATTAAGCTTCGAGTTACTAACTAATAATATATCTTATATTAGTACCGGAAAGAAGCTAGTAGTTAAGTCTACTAATCCTAATTCTAATAACGAATAAGATAATAGGATTAAAACGCTAAAAGAGTAGATAAAGTCTTTAATAAATAAGCTCTAGTAGTAGGAAAAATATAATACTATAGTTAAGGACTATTTAGTATAGATATATATTTAGATTACCGCTTTAGTACTAGCTAGTACTATCTAAAGGCCGACGCTATCTAAGGCTAAGTATTTCGAAGGAAACCGAACTAAGCTTTAAAGATTCCTTATTTAGATAGATATATATATCGATATAAATAAGTCTAAACTTCTATCCGAAGTAAATAGAGTGATCTTTATATTAATCTACCTATATAAATAAGTATAGAATTAGCTTAAATCTTATATTAGAGACTATTATAAGAAAGTACCTAAAGATTAGTCTAATACTATAGCGGAAATCTTTAATAGCTATAGTAGTTTCTAATAATACTTAAAAAATAAACTTTTAGAGATATTAATACTATTAGAATAGCTAAATATAAACTATAGAAAATTAGATAATAAACTAGTATATTAGTCTATACCTCCGAATTCTAATAGATTATTTTATACTTTAATCTATCTAATCGAGTATATATTCTATACTTCGAGATAGGATATAAACTAGATATTAAAGATAAACTAGCTAGGATCGATAGGCTAGGATATCTTAAATAAATTTATTAAGATCGCGGTTAAGATTAATAACTATATTAATAAACGAAAGTATAAATAATAAGAAATAGACTAATAGAAGCGTAGTAAATTATATAGCTTTAACTATTTTAGTAATAGACGCCGCGATAGAGCGCTATTATAAGAAAACAATCTATATAGCCTAAAACTAATAGAGTTAGACGCTATTTAAAATAAGTAAAATAAATATTATAAAAAGAATCTCTACTTTATATATAGGAAACTAGGATATTATATAAAGGAATATAAGTAGAAGCGACTATATAAAAAACGGTAATACCTATAAGCGATATATAAAGGACTATATATAATCTAAGAATAAGCCTAGATAGCGACCCTAAAAGACGAACCTTTAAAAGATCTCTTAATAAAATAAGAACGCCTAAGCCTAAAAGAGATTGTGAGCAATTTAGCAGATAATATATTATAGTCTAATATAGACTATAACTTGTTAGGGGAATCCTATCTTATATAATCTTATATAATAGGATTATATAAGATATATTAGTAGGGTTATACTTATCCTAAATAGGAAATAAGGTTATAATAGAGATCAGAATAAATTAAGAAGTTAGTTACATTTTATTAGGAATAAAACTTAGGCATACTTTTATAACCCTTTTTAGGAGGCAAATCTAAGATAATCTATAATATCTTTATAAGGATTATAGTATATAGTATATATAGCTATGAAGTCTTATTAAAAACTAGTATATAATTAAAACCTTTTAGGATAAAATATTATATATAGAAAAGAGTGCTTTATAGCCCTTTTAGTCTTATATATTATCTAGCTAAGCTAGATCTATATAAGACTTATATAAGGTATTATTAATATTTTTAGTTAAAAAATTAGCTAGTATATATTTAGAAGGTATTTAGATTATATTAATCTTTCCTTCTAATATAGCTTACTTTATAAAATAATATATAATTTTAATATATTTTAATTTCTTATAAAATTCTAGATTCTTAGCTAATTTCTTAGCTAAATTATTATTAACTAAGATTATAGATATATTAGCTATATACCCTAATTCTAGCTCTTTATTTAAATAATTAAATATATTAGCTAGATATATAGCTTCTTTAGTAGCTTCTTTTAAAGCTATATATTTAGCTTTATAGCTACTAAATACTATAGTTTTTTATAGTTAAGAATTCTAGCTAATAGGATTATTTAATACTATAGAGGGGTTTAGGCTAAATAT